TGCCTGTGCATACCCGGCATGCCAAAAAACAACTGGAAGTGCCAACATGCAATACGGCGGCTGCGACGTCCGTTATTGACAGTACGAATTTCGACAAAACCCTAAACCCTAAACCCTAAATTGTCATTGATCTCTGATAAACCCTAAACCCTACATTGTCATTGATCTCTGGTTTCCACTCTTGGAATGAGACTTTTGCCATTGGCCTTGGTAATGTGATTATCAAGAACCCTATAATTGTCATTGGACTCTGAACCCCTCTCATGATCTCATGTAAGATGTGAACCTAAACCCTTAACATTCTCAAACGCAAGCCCTGGACCCAAGCCCGAAGCTTTGAGGCAGCTACATCCAGAGTTCTCCGGCGTGCAGGCGGACTTGAAAGACTTCAAAACTGGTGGTTTTTAAAGCTGTGGCTCGCTGTTTGGGGGAGCCCTCCACCACGTCGAGGCCTACATATATCATTTTCGGGAGTATGCTAGGGATCCTTGATTCGAGGAACGCAGATCCGCAGGTTGGTTGGGAAAACAAAGATGGTCTTGATCCCTCTATGTAACTCAAAATGCGAAAGATCCAAACAGCCCTGGGTAGGCAATATCTATAAACTTTTTTTAAGGCTAGAACACTTGGATTTCACACTTTCAGAAGGGGACGGATGTTCTTGCCATCCAAGCCGGATTGCACCAACCTGACGTGTGGTACGGAAAGATTCCGCGAAGTCTTACGGGTGTCCCTGCTACACCCCCAGGTTCCCTCTAACTAGCCTCAACTAACAATAAGTGCCAGTTGTGCTGAAATCAGCCTGGTTGAGGGGAAACCTAAGAGATGCGAGTAGTTTTGGGGTACTACTTCTTGCTACTACTACTACTACTACTACTACTGCTGCTACTACTACTACTGCTAACAATACAATAAGCTCTACAAGGGAGAGGGTTGCTCCATGCATTACCCTAGTTTCTATGTCGTGTTCTGCTTGATTTTCCATCGATACCTCAATCACCCAAGGTAAAACCCGACCCTACACCCAAAGTCCTAAACCCTAAACCCTCAACGTTTAGCAGTGGAAGTATGAGGGCTGTCTCTTGCTGGGGCTCAATGCTATCCATTCGGTACTGCCCCCAGCAAGTAACACTCTACAATAGGGGGCATATGAACGGCACTTATTATCCAACTGTTAATGCCTCGGGGCAGTACCCAAGCTATCAATGATACCCACGAGGCTCGACGTGCGGGTTGAGGTTTCGGCTTTGGGGCTTAGGGTTCAGGGTATGTGCATGAGGGTTTTGCGTACCAACTATAGCAGGGCGCATTGTATTATTCTAGTGCATGGAGTAGGACACTGCATTGTTCATTATTTAAAAAAGCCCATGTCATTTGCTAGCTCTTCCTGCTTTTGCCTGCGTGGCCTCGTGCAGAAACCTACATGATCAGGACAGGGTTTTGGTGTATCTTCTATGAGAATTCTATACTTACTGGGGGTTGGTGGGGAATAAGGGAATGCATTATATAGGGACTAGATAGGGGTTGTATTCCCTTGTTCCCTACTAAGCACCAGTAAGTAATATTACGCCTAAAATGGTAGTTTCCCGTAAGAAGGGGACCCCAATATAGATCCCCAAATACCATAGTCCTTATTATGGGGACCCCTAAAATGGTACCTCTAATTTTGGGAAACCCCCAAATACACCTTGTTTGTTGTGGCTGGAGTTGCCCTCTGGCAGTGCAAAAGCTTGTCATTCCCTCAAAAAAACTCATTTGCTCAGGGCCTCACACTTTCTGGTGCTTAGTAGGGAACAAGGGAACATAACCCCTATATAGTCCATATATAATGTATTCCCTTATTCCCGACTGACCCCCAGTAAGTGAAGGGCTATATAACCATATTGTAAATATTCTCGAACTGTTAATGAGTGGCGGCAGTACCCAAACAATGGTAAGCAAGTTTGAGTTTGAGGTTTTAGGGTTATGGCCTCAAACAAAACAGCTGCAGTAGTGACCATGAAGGCAAAGATTGCCCTGCATCCGAAGCCCCAAACGGCTGAACTCAGTTGTTCATAGCGGGACTGTCCTGTTTGGGAGCCTCTGGATATCAGTGTCTCTTACTGTATGTGGTTGAAGTTCGTAAGATTGCGTACTGTATTGCTCTGGCACAACAAAAAATCTTGCTCTACATCGGGGACTTTGTAAACACTCACCTCATCCTAAGCCCCGACTAGTCCGTAACCGTAAGGTCCGGAGTATGAGCTCATAACGTGGGTCCTGCACCTTGGGATCCCCAATCGGATAAAGGTTGAGGGTTCAAGGCTTAGGGTGTAGGTTTGGGATTCTGGGTCGGCATGAACAGCTCCCTGGCTAAAAGATTTCTAAGATGTTCATGGGACTTATTGACTACGCGTCCGCAATTTGGCCTAGAACCCTAGGTGGTAATAAGATAACTTTCACAAAGTCCAGTTATAAAGTAGTTACTGAATCTCATGCACCTCCTACCAGACCCTAGACCCTAAACTGCTAAACCCTAATTCCAAAACTGCTTGACCCTAAACTTTGAACTGCTAAGCCCTGAACCCTAATGTACAATACTAAACCCCTCACCCTCACGCGACCCTAAACCCCAAGCCGCTCCAAACCTTGTTTTCGGTTGCTGTTAAGGAACTTACATTAAGGTACTATGATAAGGGAACCTATTATTTACTATATACCCCTATAATGGTAATCTAAGTTCCTTAACAGCAACGCAGTCATTTGCGTCCGGAGAGCTCGAGGACGGCCTGGTCGCACTCGAACTTGCCTCGGCTGATTTTATTTTGCTGGAAACGGAAACTACCAGGGTGTAGAAATTAGGGTATCTACAAGCGTTTAGGGCTTTGTAGGGGCTAGGTAGGTACCATACAAGGAGTATACCGTATGGGGCATAGAAAGATGCGGCCAAATTCATCTGCAGCGGCGTTGGGGTTCTGATAAAATCATTCCTTCTTGGGCTGTAATACAATATGAATTTAACACCACTGTCAACTTTGATCCACTGTAAAGGCTTTGAGGAATCTAGGGTTTACATAGGTTCAGGGGTATGGGGCTCAGGCAGTTTAGGGTGTACCGTTGGGGGGGTGCCGGGTTTAGGGCTTCCTTACAGAGAGTCATAGACAGGAAGCCTAGCATGGTCTGAGGCATCGTGCTCAAGGAAGACTCCTGAGACCAAGCGAAGAGCCCTTTCATACAAGGCGAGGCCGCATGATAATCTCCCTGGTGCTTAGGAAGGAATGGGGGAATCGATTATAGGGACTATTATTAGGGATTATATAGGGACTACTACAGGGATCCATTCCCCCATTCCCTCCTAAGCACCAGGGAGTAATAACAAGAGTTCTAACCTGCACTGAAGGAAATCGAGCTAGAGATGTCACCGCAATGGCGACCCTTCCAGCCCATCGATACACAAGGCAGAGATTCTGAAAAAAATTGAGATTCCCAGCCCTGCCCTTAAACCTTGAGGCCTTAAACTCCAGATCCAGTCCTTGAAGCCGATAGTCCCCCTCCAGGTAGATAGAATATGGAGTATGTGGTGATCTTTATCATGATTCTCAGGAATTCCAGATTCGATCTTCTCAAGAGGGACCATACCCCTAAACCCTAACCCTAAATCCTAAACCCAAAACCCCTAAACCCAAAACCCAAGCCCTCAACACTACACCCTGTAAAAACCAACTTACAGGCAGCCCAGCTGCAGTCCATGCAGAACATAAAGCTCACGAAGCCGCTGAAGGATTCCTTTTAGGGTTTAGGGTTTAGGTTTAGGGTTCCGGGATTAGGGTTTAGAGTTTAGGGATTAGGGTTTAGGGTTTTTAGGGTTTAGGGTTTGGGGATCTAGGGATGTAGGCTTTAGGGGTTTAGGGATTCAGGGTTTAGGGCTTAGGGATTTAAGGTTTATGGTTTAGGATTTAAGGGTTTTAGGGTTTCGAGTTTAGGATTTAAGGGTTTTAGAGCCTTAGGGATTAGGGTTTAGGGTTTAAGGTTCCGGATTTAGGGTGCCGTTGGTAATTCAGGTTGAGGGCGTGTTGCCTTGGATTCAGGGCTGTAGGCATTCGTGGTAACAAAAACTCATTATTGATCATACACCCCTTGCTGCAAAGAGTGTTTTCTGAGCCACATTTGGGCTGCAAGAGCACTTCACAGTTACTAAGTGCATTTCCTACGGTGAGGTGAAATAGCCATAAAAAGTAACAAGCAGATCTGGTCTTGCTGCCCTTAGTTTCCGATTCCGACTAACCATTTATTGTTTGTCTACTCCCTTTCCATTCAATTTCATTCTAGGAGGGCCTCTGCTTCATCACTTGTCATTGTGGATTAGGGATGTCAGCGGCGAGGGTAGAAAGCTGAAGCCCAAAAGGATTCCATGAAGATACTTTTTCGCTACCTCATAGATTACATGAGGGTTCTACGCCGTGTACATAAAAAGACCAGGCCATTGCTGAGTGAGATGCGACTCGCAGATGGTTCAAATAGGATGACAGTAACAGCTTCAGGCATTAGAGCAATGCCGAATTCGTCCTCCCCTTCCTTCCAACATGCCAGCAGTAAGGACTCAGTCACGATTTCCTGCTATGTAATGCTCTTACCGCTCTTCAACCAGATTACGGTATGGAACCATGGTAGACGTCAAAGGCAATGGTTCTACTGCCCTCTTCCTGCTCTTAGTTACAGATCATGGACGACATAGCATCGAGCAAACACTCTCGATGTGTCGCAGGGGTCTAGGATGTGAAGTACAGCCTCTCAACATCCGCAGTATCTTAGCACCGGCAAAAGCACCAGCAACAGCAGCCGCACAGGCAGCAGCCGCACAGGCAGCGGCCGCAGCGGCGGCGTCGGCAGCTACATGAAGCAGATTTTGACACGGACCACCATCGCCAACGTTTCCTATTGCAACTGCTCTCCTCCCACTACCGCTCCTCCTCTCATACTATTGCTGCTCCTTCTCCTACTGACAGGTTCGGCCCAGCGTCAAAAGTGAACTCGAAGTAGTGTGCGACCTGCTCAGCAATGTCACCAGGGAGCCCGTTGTAAATGCACAGCTGGCTGACAGCAATGGCCATGGCGATGGCGGTCACCTGAGAAGCGCACGGTGCTTCATTGCCTTTCAAGGGCGGGCAAATGCTGGGGCGCTTCTTCGGGCCCTCCCTTCAAGCGAAGATCCCGGCGTTCGAAAGTGTATCCTGTGGGGCTCCAGAACCATCCCACCAAAGTCATCAGCTTTCAAAACTGCGGTTTAGGGTTGTACTCCAGATTTTAAGACTGAAGTATACCCTAACCAAACCCTTCAGTTTTCCAAAGCGTAGCTAAGGCACCACTAGGTTGAAGAACAAGCCCGAATCTGCCATGAGCTTGGCTTTCTTGGCCATGCTGTACCTCAACTGTAAAGGGACCTTACTGGGAACTCCAAACAGGGAACCCCAAGAATATAATCGGAAAAGAATAGAACTATACCTACCAGGGTCCTTATATCCAATGATATTTCTACTATATTCTTGGGGTTACCTGTTCGAGGTTCCCAGTAGAACCCTGTTAAACTGGGCTTTCTGATCCCCAAGCCCTAAGCCCAAACATCCGATATACGTTGAGGTAATATTGGGATAATTAAAAAATGGAAACCATTAGATTATAATACCCTAAACCCTAAACCCTAAACCCAAACCCCTAAACCCGAAACCCTAAACCCCCGGGGTCTGGGCTTTGGAAGTGCAACATGCTTTGCAACAATTTCAAAAGCGATTTCGTAGATGTTGTTGGCACCCTGACGAACATCATCACTAGGGTTTAGGGTTTAGGGTTTGAGTATTCCAAAATGTCAGCAAGCGTGCGGCTAGATGTTTCGTCCTAATTTTAGAACCTTGCACAGATGCCAATCGGGACGGCTCTCCATATGAGAGATAATGTACACTCCTAGTATCCCCATTAATAACCCGTATAATGCTCCCTCTAATGCTCCCCTACTTAGTCCCAAACATGTAACCTTTGAAGGAGTTTAGACTATAGCCCATCCTAATTAGATCAGCGGAGCGGTTGGGTGAAGTCAGTACAGCTTGCTGAGTCCAGGCGCAAGAATACAAAGTCGACGACTGCCATCGTTATCTCCTGGTTCCACAGCGCGAAAAAGCAAGACAGCTACAGTTCATGGACCAAAGTCTGCATGACACTACGTGTGCTAGTACCATAGTTCCAAGCGGCTTGGTGCTTTGGGTCGCTGTCTATGAGCAGCAGGATGTTGTCATGTACCATTACCGCAATTAATGCTTAGCGTTTCAATCCCTTTGAAATTCAACTGAAAAAGCCGTCCTCATAAGCATAGCTTTGTAAAGGGGAGATCGTGTTGGGAACGCTCAACGAGGCGCAAGCAGACACTCTTTGTGCATCTATTGTGCTTCTACGAGCGAAGTCTGGAAAGAGCAACACTGGTGATACGCTTCCAAGCTGCCAAATGCGACCGAGCATCATTGACATATTCAATCTCATGGGATGGAACTTCGAAGTTCTCGAGACTCGCCGTGACCAGTAGTGCTGGCACCACGGTGGCAACTACGTTGATGATCATGATCAGCTTGACAAGGTTCCTTCACGAAGATTCTGCAAGCGAGATTACTGAGCAAAACTATCCGGATTACGCAAAAAATGTCTGCGATACTTGATCTACTCCAGGGTGGCATGGCAATTTCCGGCGAAGGCCATGGTTGTGGTTCATTCGGAAGCCAGAGACCGGCAGACACAGCCAGTCTTTGTTCCTTGTCTACTTAGCTCTGCCGGCCCCTCCAGCAGGCGCAGAACTGTCAGCCTTTTGACAGCAAGCAGAAGTGATTTGTTCCATAGCTGGCTCCTTGACTACATGCAGGTTCCTCCCAGAATATAGCCCAATATCATATGATACTTGTTATGGAGACCTCCATAAAAAAGGTACCCCTAATGTCGGGAAACCCTAAACCCGATAAAATCCCCTATATAATCCCAGTTTCCATTTATTTTCCATTTTCTTTTCCATTTGTGATTCTCCATTATAGTAACCATAGGTACCCCTGAAACTCCCAAATTTGATGCTGTTTCCCATGGATTCAAAAAGGAACCCCCAGTCATTTTAAGCGAAGCTCCAAGCTCTGACCCGTGGATTTTTCTCAAATACTCTGAGCCCCTGGCAGAATCTAAATTTCAAAGTTTAGGGCTTAGGGTATTTAGGGTCCCTCTAGAAAACCGGCTGGTGGAGGCTTTCAGATCAAGGCATGCTACTCTCAAAGGCTCACTTTCGACTTTGTGGCCTGGTATATTCACTGATTGCTAGGGTTTAGGGCTTACAGTCCAGGGTGTAGGGCAACGTCTCACGGTACATGCATACCGTAGATACCCAAAATCTCCATGACCCTATACAGATACTGCCTGGTGCTACATTATACCAAGGTCATGCAGGATTCTTAACATCAACAGCTTCAAGAAAAGTGACATTGCATGATCCTAACTTTGATTTGTGTGATGATTTCTTGATTTTATCACCCACTCAATGCACCGCAGCGGCGGACGAGAGAAGATATCCCGAAGGTCCCTGGGGCAGCCTCTCGAGATCAAATGTGGCGGATTGGTTTAGGGGTTTTGGGTATTGGGGCTCAGGGGTTCTGGTCCCCCTTAAGTACATAGAATATGGGATATATGGGGAGCTTTTTATGATATAGCCAAAGCCATCTCCTATCTACTAAAGGGGGACTATAGAGGTTTGGCAGATGGAGTCGGGTTTTGGGCCGTGCAAAAGCAGGACCCAGGCATGCAATGGTAATAAGAACAAGAAGTCCCTAGAGGAGACCCCGATATAGGCCCTGCATTACTGAAAATCCTTACTATAAGGACCACAAAAAAAGGTATCCGCAATTTTGAGAAGCCCCCATATCTCTTATTGGGCCAATTCGGGATGCTGTCGCCTCTTTCCTGGCGGGTCTTTAGGGCTTCCAGCGACCATAGAGGAAGCCAGCAGGAGGGAGGATTGTCCCACAGGATTCTCGCGGGTGTGGAGACGCCACCCTTTTAAACCCTATACCCTAAACCCTAATTTGAGAAACATCCATGACATGTGGGCCAGGTAGGTGACATACCACATGGAATGTGTTCATAAACCATTGAAACACCCCAAGGCTACATGTAGGTACTATTTATAGGGTTTGGGGCCCAATGTAGGTATTATTTGTAGGGTTAGGGCCCCAGTGACATAAATTTGTGAATCTAATTAGATTCAATTAGATTCTCAATATGCCTTGGAAACTGGCAGTGCACCGACTACCCTACACCTTCAGCCCGAAACTGTTACACGGAAAACTCCGCGAGGAGCCTACGAGCGCGTAGACCTGAACAAGGGCGAAGCAGAAGGTCGCCCAGAATTCGTTCATGTGGAAGAAATACTTGTTTTCCCTTCCTCAGCCCAAGGCTAGGGTGTTCCTAAAACTGGGGAGTCCTGCTTCTGTACGGTACCCCCTCGTACACTCGAAATGTACCTCAAAATTATAAGCTTTAGCAACAAGAGGCCCCCAACTGACATGATCGACTGACCAGCTAGCAGAAGACTGCTTTATAGCATCTTCACTCTGAAAAGTGAAGCATCTGAAAATCTGAGGCTTGACCTACATTGAAGGTTGAGGGTTCAAGGTTTAGATCTTTGGGGGCCAGATGGGGGTTTTGCAACATTATGGGACGCCAAACTATGCTCTGATCAATGGGGGTTCAAACCGGACGACCTCTGACACAAAAGCTTAAATTCTGAAAGCTCTAAAAATGGGAGGGCAAGCAAATGATGGACAACAGATCTGTAAGAATCATGAGAATCATTACTGACCCCATTCGGGGACCCCCCCACCCTTTTAGGGCGCCCTAGCTTCGATTTGAGACTGCTAGGCCTGGTCCCTAGTGGTGGAGGGTCCTTAGGGTTAGTAATTACTCTCCTGCTAAGTAAGGGCCCGTCGGAATTCCGGAGCCATGGAGTTCAGGATCGTGTTGCAGATGTTTATGCCGACATATACCTAGGCTCGCAGAACACAGAGCTTGACGCCCACCAGGTCTAGGGTTTAAAGCTTAATAGTCGTTTCCATTTTATTTCCATTATCCCTATATAACCTCAAAATATACCCCATAATACTATAGTAGAGGGCAGAGACTGCATAGCTCTGTCTTTGGAGTTCTATATCTGAGTAGCAGTATCTTCATTGGAAATACTACCCATCTATTGTCTAGGCTTTCGTCTTAGGAAAAGGTACCCGACACAAGAATGAAAAGCCTCCTGGTCGGGATCCTGGATACTAAGCTGCACAGGGCCAAGTGCAAATTCGTCCGCGACATGGAACGCATCCGGCTCAATGTTTCAGTCATCATTATCTCCTCCATCCTGCACAACTGTTAGGAAGGAAGTGCGGGGAAGACAAGTCCACCCGAAAGGAATGCAAAACCAAAGCTGATCTGAGTAACCTTGGTCCAATGGTTGAATCTAATAGGATTCATTATATTCTTTGCGTCTCATAAAACACCTGGACCATAAACAGACTACACAGCTCATTTAGTCCATCTTCAACTTTTAGCATCCCGGCAAGGACGCAGCGATCACATGTACGCATGATATACAAGGATTCAGGGGTGAAAAGCCGGAGACTCATAGGAAACGTAAAAGATTACAATACAACTTGCTAAGTTTGGCCAACGTTCTCCATTTATTATATCCCTCATATACCCACAGTATAATACACACCGCCAAACCCAACACCACTTATCTAAAAATCTAAGCATCTAACAGATACACGCGGCCCCTGTTGGGTAGTGCTCTTCGCAAAAAACAACCCTAAACCATGTGAAATGTCTGTAGCAAGCCTAGTTCTGCAAAATGTCAAAGTTGCGGCAGAATTGCCATGTTACTTAAGGCTTAGGGTTAATATGGTAGGGGCCTGAATGATCGAATAATGGAGGACCAGGACAAGAAGACGACACATGCAATGGTAACTGCGCCTGTAGGGATATGCACGCACGCACCTACTGGATCAGAGTGGGTTCTAAGTACAGAACACTATAAAGGCCTAGGGCTCAAGGTTTAGGGTCTAAGGTTTGAGGTAAGAACTACGGGAGTACTATTGGTAGTTCGTTATGCAGGCATCCTCAGTATTCTCTAAAGGCGGCGTTTGCTCCTGAAACCCAGGCATCCAAATAACAGTGGACTGAGCGAGCCCGGGAACCCCTTAAGTAGATAGAATATGGGGTATATGGGGACCTTGTTATACTGTATCCAAACATGTTCTATCTACTTAAGAGGGACTGTAAATTTATCACTTTCTTCTAAAGCCTCTCGAACTTCTTCTACAAAAAAATCGTGTAGGGCTACAGGAGGAGATTCCGATGGGGGAGGTCATATCAGGGGTATGTAGAAACAATGGAGAGAAATATGAGGGGTGCACTTGTAAGGCTTGTGTAAAGTCCGTACATGGTGACTCTTCTTGCTGTAATTGCCTCAGAAAGGACAATTTAGGGTTTGGAGTTGACCGCCTTAAGCGGAAAGGCCTCAACCGACTTCTATTGAAACTTAGTGTAGAAACCTGAATAGTTGCAAGATTATCTTGAGGTCTATCTGGGAGTTCCTATGCTATCTGGGAGTTCCTATGCTATACAAAGAACCTGACTGTTTAGGCACCTGTATTACCAATCCCTAATCTTTGGACTTGCTGGGCCCCATGACAATGGCATCTTAAGCTTAGCGGGCATTTCTCAAGAAAGGGAGATGCTGGTGGCCTAACACCTATATAATCCCAGTTTCCATTTCATGTTCCATTTTCTTTTCCATTTGATTCTCCATTATAGGGCCCTAAACCCTATATTGGGTACCATCATCCCCTACATAACCCTACATATAGCAGTAACCATTTCATTTTCAATTTTCTTTTCCATTTGATTCTCCATTATAGGGCCCTAAACCCTAAACCCTAAACCCCTAAACCCCTGAATTGGGTCGGGAGGGCTTGCTCAAGGGCTCCTGCGTAGTTCCTTTTTGGACATGTTCTGGGTTGTATTGGATTCAAATTAACTGTCGCTAGGGATCCATGTATGTAAATAATCCCTACCTTGGGCCCCAAAGTCTGTAAATATTACCTACATTGGGTTATTTGGATGCCCTAGAGGGTGTTCGAAAGAAACTACATAGGAGGCTCTACATAGTGGTTCGGTCAGGGGGATCCATGGGGATTAGCTACAGAGTCATTGTGAAACGTGAAGCACGGACTAATTACGGACTAACTCTGGAGCCAAAGTCTTGCGTCCTGCAACTGGACACGACGTTCCAATTCAGGATGTTGACTTTGTCTGTATGCCTTGCATGCTATAGTTTAGGGTTGGAAGGTTTAGGGCTTTTATAATCCCCTCCCGAAGATTAACCCCTCCCACCCCCTTAATATTCAGTACTCCCAGTATGTGGTGTATTACAATATGCTGAGAGTATTTGATATCAGGGGGGTGGGGGGTTTAACATTAGGGGGAAGGGATTAGTGGGAAAGTACTGTGGCAATTTTGGACGAGTAGAGACTACTGAGGATTTGGGGCACCAATTTATGGCACTTATATGAGCCATTGTCTAAACTCCCAGCATCCCCCTTTATAACCCCCATAGTTGTCCCCTATAAAAATTAATCCCCTGTATAATAACCCCCTTTGAGGAGTCTGATCAAGGCAGCCACAAGGAGAAGCGCAGCACACTGTCTACAATGTTGGAACCCTCTCACAACCGCGGGCGTAGCTTCAAACAGAATTCGCAAGCATCGTTCACAGTAAACTCACCCTCTACGAGCTCCGCATGGAGGCTCTCAAACTTATGGTCCTTTTCAGGGTCCCCATTACACTGCGGCCCCTGATAATTACTTACGGTATCCCAGAAAGAGATCATAATTTCGCCAAGCCCCCACATAGGCTCCCTTCGAAAGTCTTTGCTCAATTACGGACAAGTCACAGTTGGTACGCTGCGAGTTGCCCGTCATCCGTTAGGAGAGGGGTGTTCATGGCCATGGCTCAGTGGTTTACAGTTTACAGTCCACCTTTCGGTCCAGGATAGAGGGTACTCTAGACCACCATGGACGGCCTGTAACTGTTTTAGCATGGCTAGGCTGTAGCTGTCAAGATTTCCGGTACACAGTGAGTGCAACTAGGCCTGTTCTTTTGATCTATGTCTAAGATTTTTGTGTTGTATTGCCATTGCGCATGGTTTATGGTATCCCCTCATGGCTGGCCCTGCTTCATCATCTTCCAGCGCACGGCTTGCTAGAGACTAACTGTCTCTTGGGCGCAACCGATGACATCACGGACAGGAAAGAAGTCCCAATCAAATTGAAGCCCGAAACTCTAAACCCTAAACTTTGAAGACAGAAAAACAGCCATCAACCATTTGCAAGCTGCAGGAGGAGAAGCCGCGTGCCTATCAGCGGCCTGAACTGCTATTAGTAAGAACTAGTACTATTGTTTATCATTATTACTAATCATTATTGCTAGTCCTACCATTAATACTATTCTCACTGCTAGTACTATATATTACCATCATTACTACTGTTCCCATTATTACAATTCTTACCACTACTGCTATTATTACTCATCATCGAGCAGCCCACAGATAAGTCAGAACTGCGCTCGGATAGTGACCCCCCAAAAAACGCTCTGCAGAACCCTAACCCCCCCAAACCCCCTAAACCCTAAACCCCCTCAACCCTAAACCCCTAAACCCTAGAAACCCCAAACGCTCAACTACAGCTCCTGGCCGCGCTCGAGGCACCATCGCCCAGCAGCGGGTCGGATTTGGGCTTGGCGCTGGGCCTTAGGGTTTAGGGTTTAGGGTCCGGGCGCAGCTTTTCTCGGGAAGGATGAATCCCACTAGTTGCCAGTTTCTTTTCCATTATCCCTATATAACCCCTATATTATGCCCTATATTGGGATCCCTATTATACTGAGGAGAAGGAGGAGCTGCAGTAGGAGCATTGGCAGTCGAAATCAGGGTATATGTATATACATATATATATATACATATAGGGTTCGATATAGGGTTATACTAGGATAATGGAAAAGAAAATGGAAACTACTATAATATAATAGGGTATCTGTATATATATATATATGTACATATACATATATATATATATATGTGTGTGTGTGTGTCGGCCTGAAGAGTGACTAGAAATCTCCTGTTCGCGAAGACAGCAGCCGCAACTGTATGCAGCTACAATGCTCCAAGCGCCCGGCACAGCGGGCGCATCATCAAAGAGCCCCCCACTTGGCTTCGAGGCTCCGCCGGGCCGTGAAGGTCCCAGGGGCCCCGGAAGAGGGGCTCCAGCTGCTTTTGGAGGAACCTGCGCGTTGATGTGAATTTAGGGTTCAGGGTTTAAGGTTTGGGGTTTAGGGTGTGAACGTCTGGCTTAGACAACCCCTCCTCTAGCAGGGCTCATCTCGATTCTGACATGGGGAAATCTTACAGAAGAAGAATACTGACTTTGAGTCTCATTGCGAGAGATGGAACTATGAACTTGACAACCCACAAACCCGAGTGGGTGACCACTAACTTGGGAGATGGAGATATGGGTTTCTCCAAATAGGAGTACCTGAGGGACTTCAGAGATGCGGAGGAAGCTTTATCAAACCCTCCACAGCATTCTATGGGGAATGCTTTCTGAGCTGGATCTTGAGAAATCTTTGGCAAGGGGTACTGTAAGTACGTCATTCTTCACCGGCAGCCAGCTTCCCAAAGCGACTATGGGACATCTCAACACTTCTGAGTTCTGAGCCCCTTACAAAGAGGTTCTGCAAGTTTAGGTAGCTTTTGGGTTTATGGCTTTGGTTTAAACACCCCAAACCCTAAACCCTAAACCCTCAACCTAACCCTAAACCCTAGGGCCACTGCTGTGAAACATAGCCGGTTTTAGTGACAGCTTGATAAGTTTGACGTTCTCCGTGCGCTGCTGCAGACCTGGGGTCCTGACCGGAGTTCCTGGTGTTTAGGGTTCAAGATTTATGGGTTTAGGGGTTTAGGGTTTGAGGGCTTATGGTTTAGTGGCTTAAGGGTTTAGGATTTCAGGGTTTAAGGGATTGGGGTTTAAGGTTTCCCCTCAAAAACTCCCAATCATAATCTCTGACCCTGGAACCTCTGAATACTAACCAAGATCCTCAACCCCGACCGACTCCACGCTGACCTCTCACCCCTACAAGCTACAACCTCCTATGAGCCTCAACCCCTGTCCTTAAAAGGCCTGGAAGTCCCCATCGCTCAACCCCACATCCACGCCGAAAGCCCCAGCACCCAATCCTAAATCTCAATCTCAACCCCCGAGATCCCAACCTCTGTCCCGCTGGAGAGGAGGAACCCGCAAGGTATTCCA